GTCTTTGTTCCAGGCTGTTTTAGAATGGAGGAAGACATTTGGGCTTAATTCATTACAAACTCTGGTCAATTTGTGAAATTGATGTTCTCTCCCCGGGAGAGGTTTTCAGTCAGTTTACCGTCTCAGCAGGGAATCAGTGCCTGAATCAACTTGAGTTCAACTTGTACTGTAAAAGCATCAGGCCTACCTTTTTCCTCTGGGAAATGCTCTACTGGGACGGCCATGCTTGAAGTATAGATGAAGCCATCAAGCAAGTTTTTTTCAACACGCTCACTGTGCTGCTGTTCTGTTCTCAAGTAAAAGGTTTCACCAAGTTTTTACACATACTATGTATGAGAAATGTACCTTTTTGTGGTTTTGTCGGGCTGTCTGAGGGGCACAGGCAGAAAAAATAAAAAGGGCACCAGGTTTTTAATTTGGGCTTAATTTATAAATATTTGATTAAAAATGTTTTATAATGTGATTCACATTTAAAGTATAACTACTACAGCTCTGTAATAAAAACACACAGTGACCTATTTAGACCCTCCTAAAAAGGCATAAAGAGAACGACAGATTTTCTAGCATGTAAGCAGCCTGTATGACACACCATTGCCTTTTCTCCAAGTCATGTTTTGTCATGGGCCACCGCAGAGGGCACCTTATCACGTTTTATCTACCATGGGGGCTTCAAAATGGTGGTTCTTTGGAACATGCACCAGGCGGGGCGATTGCGCCATCCCCTCCTTACACTGTACTTGGATGGTTGTTGTCTCTATCACTTTCCCACAGTTCAGTTCAGTCCAAATGACAGCTGCTCGTGACCGTTTTGCTGCCTCGCAGAGTACCAGCTGTGGTCCAACGGTCCACTTTAAGAGACAACTGGCACACACAGACACACACACACACACACACACACACACACACATTCTCTATGCACATGAGGCCCCGTGACCAATTGCCATAATGACTGTAGTGGCACATTAGGAGGCGATCAAGGCACACATGGAGAACGTCACTGTACAGATTTCTCAAAAACAACTCTGCTCAAGATGACACGTGTAGGGGCAGCCGTAACTGACCTGCCCAAAACCTCAAACTGACTTTTACACTATTTCTGATGATTAACTAAACAAGCATACATACTGTACATACAAAGGATTATTAGATTAGATGGTTACTCGCAAATCATCTCCTCATCCCTTAAAATTAAAATGAAATTTTAATTCTCCTCACTTTCCACGTGTTATATCGATGTCCAATTAGTGTTAATGTTAATTGTAGTAATTTGAAGCAATAAATTGCGGTGCATGCTTTAGTGACAAAGAAATAGCTGCAATCTGTACACTGGTGTCAAGGAGGAACTACAGTTTAGAGTTTGAAGGTAACCATATACCTACATGTGAAAACGAAATGGTCAAACTGCAGGTATTCATTTGCTTGACAGTGTTTAGGTGTCAAAAGCTTGCACGGACTGCATCTTGGTACATAGGCACTGCCGGCACAGCTCTGTGAGCTTACTGGAATTTAATTGACTACATTTACCATCAGCACTGGTTGGAGAGCCACATAAAACATGTAATTACAATTTTGACCAAATAAGCATTCAATTGAAAACACCAAGAATCTACATACTGATTTCTTAGCAAAATTAATTTTATTTTCAATTTTAAAATAGAAAAATAAGTTTATTTAAAATGGAAGGCCTCATTGATATTAAAAATCTCTTTTACAGGAGTGTTATGGCTGAGACAGCATTGCTCGACTTTAGAAGAAGAATTTTATGGTTGACAACTATCAAAATAAGTTTCACTTTCATTTCAGAAGTTACTTTAATGTCACATTGTTAAGGCTGTAGATATCTTATTTAAGAACGAGATCTTAATCAAACACATCTGCAGAACAGGGACTGTGGCTCTTTGAACTTTCCATTCATTCAGAAACATCTATTTCGATTTTGTAAATATATAACCTGCTATCTTATCAAACACACACAAAACCTGCCTACTGTGCACATGTAAAAACATGTCAGAGGTCATCAGATGCACACAGAGAAGACAATATGAGAAACTGAAAAACTGGAAGAAACCTCAGGAGACAGGATGGAAAGAGGGAGAGGATTATGAATGAAATGAGGCAGGAGAGGACAGGTACAGAGAGGAATGCACTGGTGCATTGTCTGACTCAACAATACATTGAGTTTGTGTGCTTTGATTGGGCCTGCGTGTGAGTGTGTCATGACTCAGTGTTTGTTCCTGGTAGAAGCTGTCACACAAAGGGAAGAGCAATCATCATGTCATGGCATTTTAGTTCTGATTAAGCCTCGTCCAAAACAAAAGACTGCCTGTGGAAACAAATGAACAGAGACGTTTTGTGCTGAAATAGGACAGATCGGGTCAATCAATCGGAGAGCTGGTTAATGGGTCATAAGTTTACAGGTCATATGTTCAGCTCTATTGATGTGTCGAGTCTGGCCTCCAGCCTTCTAGCTCGTTAGAGCTGCTAAGAAGAGGAACTACTTTATTACACCCCGTTTGGTCTGAATAATTGTCTCAGCTGGCAGTGTAATTTTGCATGTTTATACCCTTTTGTGTATGTTAGCATGCTGACATTAGCAATTAGCATCTGAAAAACTCAACAGCAATGTCTGTTTCCAGAAAGCATGACCCCCTTACTCAATATAATCCATAATACTTTCTTTCTACCAAACTACATCGGGCAACTGTAGCTGAACCAATCTCAGTGGTGCTAGGTGAGCTAGCAAACGTTACAGCTCAGCCGAGGAGGACATTAATGTTTACGTTCTGCGCTGTCATGAGCATGGATGTATAAAGAGAACTGGACACAGTGATGGAGGCGGCGCTCTGTTCATTCCTATGAAAGCTGCTGAGTGGCGTATGAAACCAAAAAAAGCCCCTTCCCGCTGCAAATAATTCTCCGGATTAATGCAATTCAAGACTTCCGCTGTCGGAGTCTCTAACGTTCTCTACACTTATAATTATAATTAAATAGTTATCGGACTGAATGGACCATTTTGATAGTGATTTTGCGTGGGGTGTGACGATCAGAAAAATGTATTCACTGCATAAAAAACACTTCTTTCACAATGTAAGCTTATGGGAGAACGTCCCTTTGGACCAGTGTGCATTATGTGACCATTGCTCTAATTACACGGTTCAGCCACTAATTGGCTTCAAAGCCCGGCACTCTTCCTGGAGGGTTGGTCACAAGCCTCTCGCCCTAAGTAGATGCGTGCTTCCTTCAGCACGGTGATACGTAGAAAGAAAATAGCTCCTACGTTAAACTGCTCACAACAAGACCTGTGGATTATCTTGAGTAGCCAGGTCATGATTTCTGAAAAGAGGCATTGGTGTTGAATGTATTTCTTTGGCACTTTGAGCCCCACAAACCGAGTGTCATCTGGTTCCATTATATTGGAGAGAAAGCAGACATCTCTACTCCCGATATCTCCAAAACTCAGCAACTCACACCAAAACAGTCTAGATGGATAAACAGGGAAGACGGCAGATATGTACTTTTGATTTTGGGATGAGCTGTCCCTTTAAGCTTAATTTATAGTTTCCATGCAATAAATGTTGTCATGTGCTAATGTCCTCTAGGGTCTATGCAGACCTGTGCGGATGTTCACAAAAACCATACACACCAAAAAACGTCTGCAGTATGTGTGTCCCTTTTTTGGTCCATAGTATTCCTTTCACTTTTCACCATTTCCATTCAGTTTTTGAAAAGGGAACAACACAATGTCTGCTTTTGCTGTCAGTCACAACAGTGTTCTTACAACTGAAAACAACAACTAACATTTAATTTTTAAATTTTTTTCCATGTTTACAATCAGTTAAGCGGTTATACAATGGATTCACACATTGCGGTTTACTGTCATTCTACCACTTTGTCATAAAGCCTGACAATAAGTATCTGTTGCAAAGTGGAAACCTGAAAGTTGGAAATAACAGCAGGGTGGGAAACTTCCTATATTGTAGTTATGATGTTGGTCAGTCAGAGACGGGGATTTTTCATTCTGTCAGAGGTTAGGTAAACATTAAGCCTCTGGAATCCAGCTCTCTTTCTCTCTCACACACTTGCCAGTCACATTTTATGTGCGTTTGGCAGGCTTCAGGCGGGTAAACTCCATGTTTCCGCTGATTGCTGCTGGCCAGAGATTTTGTTTTGGCTGCAGATAGACGCTGTGAATTCCTTTCCAAACAGCAAAAAAATGTCCTTTACACTGCTTTTAAGCTTTGCAATGACAGATATTAAAATGACTTTTTCCTCGCTTTGCTTTTTTCCCTCGTTAAACATCCTGTCCTGTCAGCGCAGTTACGATGACTCCTTTTTCCACCTTATGTCCTCCCTCACAAGCCCTGGCTACTAAGTGAAAGATAATTTACATGAGAGTAAAGGATTGCGGAGGATCCAAACACAGCGTGCGGCGCATGTCTGCTTTGGTGTTTGCACGTGGAACTGTTGTTGAGTCAAAGTCCAGCAGATCTGTTTCCAGATTGCTTGGCTCAGTGTGAGGACTTCCAACCCACAGGTCAGTCCACCTCCGTTCGGAAAGTCCTTACACAAGTCCAGGCGCCACGACTGAGTCATAAAAATGTCAGGACAAATTAGTAAGATTTACAGGAAGAGAAATATAAGAGAAAGAAAATACTAAGGGAAAATACTAAAGGTAATTTTTCTAAATTGAAAGACAATAAGGAACAGACGGAATTACTAAAAATAGTAATTTGGTCATAGTGCAATAGTACAATACTCCTGTGTTACCTTCATCTGTTGAATCATCAACAGGGGAAACCAGGGAACAGGAAAATTTAGGTAGTTTTTAGTCTGATTTCCATAAATGTTGACATTCTGATTACGGGTCAGTGCCACCTTTGTTGTAGAGAATCACAAAATTAAAAAAATTACAGTCCAAGCTGGGTGTCCCCAGTCCTGACAGATGTCTCACTTTTCGCCACAATTAAAATAATAGTTAAAATATTGTTTTCAACACTTACATAGTGCTGGTCATGTTCTGTCCAACATAAACAATGCACGTCTGAAATGAACACAGATGTGTTTTTCTATGTGTGTCAATCAATCTGTGTGTCGCTGTCTAGGCTGTTGCTGGCCTATGAGTCAGAGGCTCTTTGTGACAGACCCTGCTAACAGTTAGCTGTCATGTTTTCCTAAAGAGCTCCAGGAAGCTTACTCCTTTTTAAAAGTAACCAGCAACAAAAGTGCTGTGTTCATGGCATCCATGGTGCTGGAAGGCGCACTCAGTAGGTGCGCGCTGATATAATTGTCCCCCTTCCTGAGGAAAACACCTGTGGTGCATAAGCGCAAACATGTACGTGTGCAGGAACGTGTGTTAGATTTAAAGTTCCAATATGTAACATTTCCATTTACTGTATTGGCAGAAACTGAACTAGTTGCACATCAGATAGTTGTATAAACCTGTGAGGCTGTGGGTAGCTGTTGATTTACAGTTTAAATGCTGGAGAAAAGATTGTTTATGTTATTGTCCTGCATTGTCCTGCACTGTCCTGCACTGGCTGGTCATCATCTCACTTGAATTATCCAAACAAAAGTACACAGAAGAGGCAGATATCTTTTATTTACTTTTGGTTTTACTTTGAAATAATTTATGTGAAATTGAAGTTGGAAAGCTACTGCTTGCTCCAATGTTTTTTATTGTTTTTTTATAGTTAGCTGTAGCCTGAATGGCCACAATTATGAGGACAAGACCCAGGTTGAATTTGTCTTGAACACTAACTAGCACATTTCCCAGCACAGTGAGTGAAAATAGAAACATTTGAAGAGTAAGTAAGGATTTTACTTAGTTAGTGAGGTTACACACATCCTCTGTGGTGCTGAGTGTCTCTTAGGCGTTCACACACCACTTCATAAGCAAAATAAATTATTGACAATGTCTCTTTGCACTTATCCTCCTTAAAGAGTCTTAATGTGGTCCCTGTGAGGATGTGTGTGTGTGTGTGTGTGTGTGTGTGTGTGTGTGTGTGTGTGTGTGTGTGTGTGTGTGTGTGTGTGTGTGTGTGTGTTTGTTAAGAAATGTTGCTCTTTGCTGTGGTGTGGTTGAGTGCGTCAGTGTTGCGAAACATCCACAGTCCAGCTCTTTAGAAGTCAACTTACACACACGCATCCTAACACTCTTAATCACAACGCCCTCTCACACTCTCCTGCTCATCCTCCCATGCCTTCTTCTCTTGTGGGGGAAACACAGGACTTAATCATATGCCTGCCGGACAGTCAGTGTAGCAAACATGAGGAGTCCCATCTTGCACAATGCAGAATCCTTTAATACCATGACTCCTAGAGGGATTTACAGTATCGATGCTACACAACAGTCAGTTTAAAACCTTTATCTTTATTTCCTGTGGTACTATTGAATTTTTCTTGGTTCCACTGAAACTTATTAATTCATATTTATAATTAAAAGAGGTATAATCAGTAAAGCGTCATTGTTTTTAAAAAGGTTTCCCCTGCTCTGTCCACTTTATGAAAGTGGGGGCTGTCCATTATTCCCAAACCCTAATAGTCCCATAAATGTCCCATTGGAACGAAAACCCATTTGTCCAACAGCCTGTTATCCCAAAAACAAAAGCCCACTGCTCTGAAAGCCTGTTTTTTTGAAAATATGCATCCTCCCTGGAGCTTTTCTGCCTTAATATCCTGTAGGTTTGGTTAGGGTTAGGTGCCAAAACTACCTAAGTTAGGTTTAGGAAAAGATCATGGTTTGGGTTAAAATAGATATGTTGTGTTAGTTGTGTACATAACTCTCACTCTGCCACTATTTCCCAGTACCATAAACATCCCCCATACAATCATTTCCTTCTTCTTTAGATGAGACTAAAAGTATTGCCGCCATACTGTTTGCTATTAATGTTCCTTTGACATTTATTAATAGTGTTTATTTAGTCCAATACTGTACAGATACTCAGTTTTATTTAATCATTTTAGTCCAGTTATCCAGGCTAAAGTGCACAGAGTAAAAACTGTTTCTCCAGCTGCTCCAGGCCTTTGCTTCCTACTTTGAAGTGAGTAATTGTTGCATAATGTATAATGTTCAAATGAATTTCATAAAATTAGTATAGAAAAAAGTATCATTCAGGAGCCAGTAATAGTCAAGGTATTGGTACCGTATTTTCAGAAAAGGGCCTTCGGAGCAACAATACCTGAATATAGTTAAACGATAAAAGTGACATATATCTTGTCACATCATAACTTTTATTGGAGCATAGAGCAAAAAGGGGCGGGACTTAGGAAGGGTCCACTCATTATTCAAAGCAGATGGTTTCCCAGTTAGAATTGGAGGAGAAAGCTTCAAAAATAGCAAACATTTAGCACATAAGGAGGAGGTTGGGGTGGTGGAGGGAGCTGCAGCAGCAAACAGCGTTGGCATGAAGGAGCTATAGTGGAGGTACCCTCTACACCTCCATGAATATGTTTGGACGTGCCTTAAGCTGGTGAGTGAGCCAGTGACTGTGAAGCATGAATGAAACACCTGATGCCAATCAGCTGAACCAATGCTACGCTCCATAAGGTAAGGGGGGAATGATGCAAATGAACTCCGCGGTTATTAAATGGATTCACACATTGCTGTTTGGACTAGCCCCAAAAACCATTTGTTCATAGTCAAGAAAAGCAGGTCTAAATTAAATATGAACTTTTGTTCCAATGGATTTCCAACTATTTTTGACCAGTCTTCACTGCACTTTTCCAACATATTGTCTGTTTAGTGTGCTAGATTGGTCTGAACCACAGCAGCAACTCAAGTGTCAGCAAAATCTTGGTTTATAAGGGATGGAAAAAATGTATTTCACTGTAATCTTTAGTCAAATCAACAGAGGCGCATTGGTTTGCCTTGACAAAGACTAAATACTGCCTGACTGCAGGCTGCAGAGTTGGCCATAAGACCGAAGGCAAAAACACTTGGACCAACACATCACCACTGCAGCCCAGAAGCCTCACAACACCAAAGGAACTCAAACCTATCATTATGTTAGTTTTAATGCTACAGTTTTGACATTTGACACTAACACTTCACTGGCAACAGCTGGATTCTTTGCATTTTTTTACACATCAATCTGTAACTGTGTGCTCACTGTCACCAGCCGAATTTAAAAGCCTGGAATAAGATTGAGGGTATTTCCTGGTTGATCCTGTCTGGATGAAATATGAAAGCTGAACTGTGTCCAAATGTATAGAGGAGCACAAACAAAACAGGGTCCGCTGTGTGTTTAGGCAGCAGGCAGCGTCCAAAGGCTGATATGATTTAGATGAACAGATAGAGACGGAGAATGGGAGATGGAAAGATGGATGTGGAGAGATAAGGGAAGCAATGCAGTGCTCTGCAACAACACGTTGAGCTAACACAGACAACCCAGTTTTGTTTTCCCACGGGATATACGATAGGTCCCAGTGAAAGACACACACACACACACACACACACACACACACACACACACACAAAAATATAGTCAAAAACAGAGATGCCATCTGCCCCGGCGCCTTAATCAGCTTATCACTCCCTGCACTGAGGCTGTTCAGAAGCACTATATCAAGCTTTGACATACATTAGTGGTACTACTGGGATCAAGCAATATACTGTTCCCAACCCAGCACCCCGTCACACACACACACACACACACACACACACACACACACACACACACACACAAACACACACACACTTCTAGAGCCAACATTCCTAACATGCACACATATTCGGACATGCATGCAAAGAAAACACACACGTTTTCATCTCAAAAAGATTGGAAACATCCTCTGCATGTAAGCACCATGAAAATCATTAAACACACACACACACACAGAGAGAGAGAGAGAGTCAGAGCCGAGGACTTACTGCTTAGAAAATCAACACAAACCAGACCCAGACATGCAACAGAGCATGCAGGCAAATACAAACTGTGTGTGTTTGTATTCTGACAGAACGCCAAAGCCCAGCTGATCTCTCAGTAAATATGGACATATGGTCAGCCTCTGTGGGGAGAGACAGAGACACAGAGAGAGAGCGTATGAGGATGACACCAAGATGGTTCTTGGCGTGTTTCCCTTTGTCTGTCCACAGGGAGACCACAGCGGGCGGAGACATCTTATCCTCCCGGGACATGTGTTCCTTTCCCAAAGCTTAAGCGTTTAGCCTTTTTGACTCTTCACGTCACCGCAGGCAGCAGGTCAGAGGTGACCAGTGGTTATGTAATGATGAGACTGTTACGGGATGAAAACAAGGGAACTGTTATGCCAGACGGACCACAGTTAGTTATGTAAGTTCCACACAGAGCCTTGAAGAAGCGATGAGAAATGCGTCCATCATGTAGCGAGTTGGTCAAAACAAAAAATCCTGGGAGCTACAGTCAATCTGTCTAACTCTTCATATGTGCGTTAAAACCTGTGATATCTGCTCTGCTGCATCAGGAACTGTGACAGAATGGATTAAAATATGTACTACACTTTTTACCTTTGTTTATTCAGTGACCTTTCGTGGAACCACACATTGTGTATTTATTGAACTGCTTGGCCTGTTGCGCTAACAAGCACTATTTCAATAACACTGTCTATCACTTCTTAAAGGTAAAACATTCACAGACCAAATTCAGTTATACAAGTCCCACTAAAAATAAGACCTGAAGCAGCTACAAAACAGTTGGGACCATTGACTGTATATGGTTGGGACAAACCACAAAAACATGTCATGCTGACATTGGTACAAGATAAACCAACGTAACTTCATCCAGGGTTGTGGCTCTCTCTTATCTTCTGTTTATAGGCTGGCGTTACGAACGAGTGCAACTACCTAAATTATTATTAAAATAATATCTGTAACTGATTTATTAATCTTTAGCTTCTGGGGGCAATGTTTTGGGCGGTTCTCTTGTAGCCAGTGGATATATGGATAAAGGATCTCCTGGCGAATCCTTTTTTTTTTTTTTGTTTTTTTTTTTCTCCCCTTTTATAGATTTGAGGGGCGGGCCAGACGACATTTAAGCTAATCTCTAAAAACAAATATCTGCATATGATCACTTTTTAGTGGGAACTGTTGGGTCTCTGTAAATAATGTTATAAGGAGTTCAGTTTAGACCTGCTCTATTTGAAAAGTGTCCTAAGATAACTTCTGTTATGAATTGGCGCTATACAAATAAAACTGAATTGAATTGAATTTTAAAAAGCTAATAAAAAGCTAAATAGTTGTCAGACGATAGCTGATGGGTTCCGATATTGCATTTTGGCAAATGCGTTCCACCTCGTTTGCCCACCATACCCACTGCATGTGATACTACTCAGACTACAATCCGAAACCAGATTGCTTCTGATACCAAAATCTTGCCTCTTGCCTACAGATTCGGCACTCATATGCAGATATCTATAGAGATTACAGCTTCAGGATGTCATCTGACCGCTTAGCAGCTCGTCTCAAGCAAAGCAGTTTACTTCTTAGCTGCAATAATGCTGCACAGTGCATGAACCTCAATAGGACTTAAGAACTGTCTGTGCACAACAAAAATACCACAACATTTCGCTAACAAAAACTAAATTGTCTTTTGCTTTTTGTTGAGTGGAACGAGTCTTGACAAAAAGTAAACATTTTTGTTAAGAGACTAAAGCCAGTTGCCAGTATTGCTGCCATTTCCTGACTGCTCAGAGGAAAAACTACCTCCTGATGTAATTTCAATGCAAATGAAACGAGTCAGTGTATCCTGCCGTGAGTGCAGAGCTGTTGATCTCACTTATTGGACATTAAAGCCCCAGAGATGCACAGCTGCTCCAAGAACAAGGTTATTTGCTCCTCTAATCAAAGCTGACATATTACTTCTGGATATGCACAAAACCATTCTCACAGCATCATCTAGTTTTCCCCAATATCTCTCTCTTCTTCCCGTTTCTACGCCCTTCCACCAACGCCCTCCCTCCACTTCCATTTCAGAGCCTTTAAACTGCTGTGATCTGTGCTTCTCTCCCCCCTCAGTGTTGCTGGCTGTTAATCGGAGTTGCCTGGGACATCAGGCAGCTGCTGTCATGATGCCCAGCCCCAGGCTCCAGGCAGCAATATTTATCATTTGCAACAACAGCACGCTCCACTCCACCACACGTCTCCAATCCTCTGGCCACCCACATCCTCAGAACCAGTAAATTGTGTGTGCGGTAAATCACAGCCACGTTCTGGAGCTTGCGATGATGTCATGATGTGAAGGGACTATGATTTCTGACCACAGCGGAGTGGTCGCGGGCCTGAAGGAGGCACAAGCAGTGTAGCGGTCTGAAAGATGTCTATGATTTCATAACTCTCAAGTTCTCAACAGAAGTGGTATAGATACTCAAAGTGTCTGTGAGGGGAAACAAGCACAAGAAGGAAACCTCTGTGGTGCCAGTGAATGGGTAAGGTACTCTACAGGGCCAGGAGTCCCCAGAAAAACAGGTAATATTTTAATTTCACTATTATTTAATTGACTAAAAGTTAGTCTATGAGTGAATGTATGGATGTATATGTATGACACTAATCAACCGTACAGCTATGGAATGATTCAGTCTTATCAGATGGGATCCCTAAGACTACATCTTATCAAATACAGGTCTGCGGCCTGATGTGTATCAATTTGGGGGTCCTTGACCACCGCTCTAAACCGCTCATGGAAGTCGGTTGAGACGCCATGACAAGTATTAGTGAGCCTGTGAAAACAGCTGTATGTCTTCCAAGGAGGTCTGAAGTCTGACAAAGTATCTTTGGGCTTTGACACTACAAACAGAAAGCCTGGGATGTGGCGTTTAGGGTCTAACAAAATATGCTATCAAGTTGCATTACACCAGGAACTAAAAGTCAGGATATTTCAGCCTCCGCTGCTTCGATATGAACTATTTTTGTTTTGATCCTTCTATCACAAGTATTCCAGTGTTACTGAAGTACACTGTGAAAACAACTGAAACTGAAATCCAACAGGGACCAAAAATCACAGCAGGAAAACGTCCAAGGAAACTTTCCTGCAGCATCATCTACTTCAAAAAATGCTACATCTTTAATCTTTCTGAGCTACAAAGTCTACTGGAGGTCATAACACAAGTCGTGCAATTTTTTTGTGAGCGACTACATGAGACTACAAGTCCAAGAGTAGAGGTTGTTTGTGTCCACATTTTATAATCTAAATAATGTAGCATTCGCATTCTCAGAACACAAACAAAGTAAACAAAAAAAAACACATCCGGGGGAGCTCAGTGAAAGTGCTGCGTGTCAATTATTTATGCTGAAATGAGATTTGATGGGCCAAACACCTGCCTCTGCTGAACTGGACCCACACCAAATATCAGATTATAAAGCGAGGACTTGGCAGAGGCACTTCATAAACTCCCAAAACCCTAAAGAAATCAGAGGAGTGGCTGTTAGCCATAGCCACAGCCACATGCTGGAGCCAGGTGGGCCCTGTCACCTTACAGTCAACTTGAAAGACCAGAAAAATAAGATAAGACAGTGAACAAGAACGTAGTTTAACAATGTTTTATTAATCGTTTAGAATACACCATGGTAAAGCATTTTGGATCTCTCACTTGAAGACTCTTTGGGCATCCAGTGCCGGATTCAACAGCACACTTCTGTTCACCATCGCTGCCGTCATGTTCTCCAGCCCTTTGATCTGATCTCCCTCTGTACGCTGCTCTTCGTCTACCTGTGACAGGCACAGGTACGAAGAGGGAAAACCTGGCTGGTGCTCATAACTGAATACCCTGAAAAGTTAAAAAGGAAGTAGATGCAGAGGGTGGAGAACTCGTACAGGGGAGACACACGTCCTTCTCTTGCTCCCACTGCCACAAACAGGAAGTCAAATAAATACACAACAGTATCGCTACCTTTTAGTGCTCCAGCTCACAGAGCAGCAGGGCACATGTATCAGTCCCCTGTTTATAACATTCACACATAGCATGTGACTGGTGCCTGTGTTTGCATGTGTGTTTAAATGTGATCCTACATTTACTGTAATTGTAGTAGATATGATCAGATTGCACTTAAGAGCAAAGATTGAATTCTGTACACAAAAGTATTAAAAAATACATTAAGTTACATTTTCCAAATAAATATTGGTCCATTTTCGTTAGTATGCCGAGTACATCTTCCTGAGACACTTTCAGAACCACACACATAGTGATACACCACAGATATCTTTTTTCTATCCATGAGTATACTCTTTTCTGTCGTCCTTTTGCCCATCCTTTGATTTTCTCTCTGGAGGCAAAATAACTTTTTCATGCTACACTTACTTCAACCATCCACTTATGAGATCATCCCTTATCAAATGACTTGCTCTCTCATCCGTGCCAAGACATACATAGTAAACAGATTTATTCTCTGCACCAGTGCAGCGTAATCCAAGACATGAGACCATGTTTCAGATGCAAACACACAACTAGATAATGTTACAGTCCGATATACAGACAGCACTCGCTGCAGCTGCTACCATATTCACTGTAATTGACCTGAATGTACTGTGTCTGTGCCATGAAGTGATTATCTTTGTGAGCGTTAACGTGTGTGCTTGAGATGACAAACCCCTAAAATAAATGTACACAAACGTTTCACTCGCATGCTGACAGAAATTTGTATAATAATAATAATAATAATAATAATAATAATAACAGTCTTACACAGCCAGTTTTTTTGAAAATACAAATGTGTTTATGGAAGCTTTTTTTGTGAAAGTTTCACAGTATCAACGTGGTTCTCTTCCTGGCTTACTCAACAGTCACTGTACTGTGTAGCATCAGAGTCTCCAGCAGTTTGTAGCCAAGTTCCACTCTGGCTTTGTGCCGCAGAGATCTCTGACACACACACACACAGAGACACAGACAGACACACACACACACACACACACACACACACACACACACACACACACACACACACACACACACACACACACACACACACACACACACACACACACACACACACACACACACACACAAACAGACACACACACAGACACACACACAGCACACACAATGTACCTTTACATGAGGAACCACAAATCGCAAACATCCTCTGCCTTCATCCTCACCGTCATCATTTATACCAGTCTATTATTGCTTTTGTATACCTATATTCTTGTACACAACAAGTGAAGGAAAGGGGAAATGTATCGTCTCTTTAGTCTTGCAAGGAAGCAGTCCTGACTTGCAGCCCGGATAAAAATCACTAATGTGCAATTTCCAAAACAGTCAGTCTTCACAGGAAACAGTAAAAAAACAACTACTGGATAATCCTTAAACGTGATGTAAGGCAGCAGAAGATGAACAGGCTTCCCTTCTCCAGACGTATGTATACATATACAAAAAGTACTGCTTCCCTGTTTTTTCCTTTCAAGTCCTTTCAAGTCCTCGTTAGTCTATACGTTAGAGACAGCGTTATTAGTATCTCGCGCCTGACGGATGCCATATAGCCACTTGATGACTCGAGCGTTCCTCTCGATGACGGAGATCCCATAGGGGACCCGTTCATTGGCTCTAGCTGGCCCGTCCTCATTATCCTCATCTACTTCATCTTCCCTCAGCCGGTCAGCCTCCGAGCTGGGCGTACTGACGCTGCGAAGCTTGGAGACGGACACGATGTCCGAGTTGGCTCTTGTGAAACACTCCACCCCACCCATGCCTTCCACCTCCTCCGGGTCCAGCCCGCAGTAGTTGAAGAATCGCTCCATGTCGGCTGTGGCCCGGGAGTAACGGTCACTCAGGTCCGACTTGGAACGGTGCAAGGATGGGTGCTTGCGGGCGGACCCCTTGGAACTGGCGTTTGATATACGGGTGAAAGCGGGGGAGGCTGGAGGGATGATTCCCGCTCGGATCAGCATGGGACTGGGTGGTGGATAGGCTGGAGGTGGGGGCAGGGTTTGGGAGGGGTTTGAGAGCGGAGGAGGGGGTTGGTTTTGGTTCTGAGGAGGTGGGACCTGGGGGTGTGCGACTTGGCCCTGGGCAGTCTGTCTGGGCCTGAGCTGGGGCTGCAGCTGGGCCCTCTGAGGCTTCCGTATCTCAGCCTGAGGCCGAACGTCCACCCTGCGCACCGTCACAGAGTTAGGGGAGCTATAGGGTGCTGGAACCCCAATGCGGGGTGCTCGTGCTGGTATAGGGGCGGCCGGCGGGGCGGGTTCTGCTGCAGGGGTCCGGAGGTTGTTGTTGAGTGGAGAGGAAGTGCAAGAGGATGTGGAAGAGGAGTTTATGGTGCTGTGATTTAATGGTTTGAGGTTGTTAAGGAGTCGGTTGCTCCTCTCCTGCTCTGCTGACAGGCTACTGCCGATGCTCTTAGCTCCTGATGAAGGCGATGATGAAGAGGGGGAGGTGGAGGAAGAGGACTGGGAACATGGCATTGGTCCATCACATACATCATTGATAAGATTATTCAGAATATCCAAGTTAAGAGCGGGTCCTCTTCTCCTTACAGGTCCCTCTCTCCCACCTCCATTCTCCACATCTGCTGGGCAGCGGGGAACTTTGCGGGCCGGAGGAGTGCTGATCTGGCACTGGGGCATCATCCCCGGAGGAACAAGGGGCTTGCGAATGATTGGTGGTTTGATGGGGGCCTGGCGGTTTAGAGCCACCTGCTGGCTCTTTACATACTTGGCCTTGTCTGCTTCCAGACGTTCTACAGCGCTCAGCTTACGGGCCCCGGGCTCAGCCTGGCGACGGAAGTAGTCTGGACCCTTGTTAAGTATCCTGAAGGGCATGGCAGAGGTGAAAGGAACCCCGGCCAAACGGCCGTCTGATGGCCGCAGGGTCTCCACCGGCATACTGGAAGAGCTGACATAGAGAAAGGAGGATTTTCGGTTAGTCAAAAGGTTTTTAAAACAAACTGTGTACAGAGTAAAGATGAGCAAAGAGTGAATAACAAAGAGTTGAGAGAAATGTTATTAAAGAATAATTGACTGTCCTCTATTTGTATCAAATGTGACAAAAGTGATTCCTATCAGCCAGAGCGTTGTGGACAGGAGATACGAGTCAGAGACACAGAAGAACTGACAGAAGGAGAGGTGGGTGAGAGTGGGGATTTAATGGTCAGCGAACATCCTTTTAGAGGTCCCACATGTCCTCTCTAAGCTTAAGAAAATAGCTCTTTTGTATTCTCTTTTCTTCCCACTCTCCTCCCCCCCTCCTCCCTCCCCTGCACCCTCGCTCCCAGAGCCCCCTTTAACTTCCTTACCGGTCGCTGTGCTGCTGCTCTCACTTCTCTCCTTTTCTTCCTCCTTTCTTCTCTGTCACCCCTCTTGCTCTTTTATCCGTCCCTTTTCCCCAGTCCGGGCTCAGAGAAAGGCTACTTGTGGGACAGGGTCAGTCGGGGTCAAATTCCACATCAGGCCCAGCCAGAACACCTCTATTAGCTCAGTGGTGACCCAGAAGGGGGCTAGGCTGCAGATCGGGGTCAGCGGTCAGCCACAGTGCAGCCGATGGAAGCTCTTTATCCAAATTGCAGGTCTGGAAGATCCGGCCGGCAACGATCCCCAGCAACACAACGGCCTTTATGATCCCCTTTGCGACCTCTGTCCAACTTGTCTGTCAAGCCTTTCCGCCTGTCCAGCTGGGTTCTGACACAAAAAGCCGGCCGGCAACTCAGCTGGAGAGCCCCACAGTCCTGGAGAGGGTTAAAAAGAGATAGAAGTCCAAGTCAGATAATGGTAGAGCTCTCTGTTTTCTGTTTGCCTCTCATTAACAAAAGCACCCACACACACTGATACACACACACACACGCTCACACACACACACACACACTTCTCCGGCTGACAGACAGGGACTCTCTTCAACACTGAAGTGGAGCAGACGGGACAGGCTTTAATACCTCGTCTGGCTCCTCCCAGCCGGCTAATCACATGGCAGGCCGGGAGCCTCAGTGGGGCACCGGGGGCGGGGAGGAAGGCGGGAGGCGCGCTCGCATTGGTCCACCTCGAAAGTGATTCTGACCAATTGGACCCCTCCCCCCTCTGAGCACAACAAAACACTGAGGCAGGGTTTTCATTCAAATGAAAATTCTTTGAAAGGGAGAAAGGGGGGAGAGAAAGAGAGAGGAGGACAACGGGCAAAACAGCTGCAATTTTTACATTGACTTGCATCAAGCTCAGCGGGGTGCTATGAAAACATTGTGGAAAAGACTGAAAGCCCACACAACTGTTCTTCTTGTTTAGCTCTTTGTCTTCATCACCGAGTGGAGACAAAGTGTGTGAACAACAGAGACACAGTAAACAATAGAGGATTATCTTATTCCAAGTCTAAATGTGCTTTAATTTCATTTTCATTTCATTATAAATCATCTAGCTGGTGCTTGTAGTGCAATGGAGTTAACGTTCAGCGTCTAAAAAGCAGCCAAACAAGTGCAGCACTAGTTTCAGAGACAAAGAAACAAAGACAGACAGTAAAAGTTTCTTCTGTTCTGTTTCCACACCTTAGCACCCAATTACTTCAATTATTTCTCTCACTTTTAGGAGTTCAAAGCAATGCTGACACACACAGTGTTCATCTGTTTTCCTCTTTCTCCAAGCTCCTATTTTGTGGAAAAACAATCCTCCCCCCGCTTCTTATCATTTACAACATTACTCTCAGGGTTACATCACGCCCAGTACTGTTTCTCTCCCTCCTCCTCCTCCTCACCTCCACCTCCAACATATCTATCTGCACATTTTTAATTAGTCTTTTTATAGCCATCTTCTTTCCCGTCTCCCTCAACATGTGACCCTGTTTCCCTCACATCTCCCCCCTCTCTTTCTCTCATCCCTGAACAGCAGACCAGCGGCAGGGAGAAAGAGCAAAAGCGACCATGACAGCTTAGACTCTGAGACACACACACACACACACACACACACACACACACACACACACTTGCTTTTAGAGCTTGAATATCCACACACAGTCACAACTGCTTTCATCTTAACTATGTGACAAACCAAAGAAGAGTTTAAAATAGTGTGACTTAAATTACACACATTTGCATCACAGAAAATAAATGATTCGCAAACATTAAGTGACCAAAAGCCTTGAGGCAAACCTCTAGGGAAAACATTTTATAGGCAAAGAAAGGAGGGATTGTTCAGTTAGTTTCAGTTACAGGACGACAGAAACCCACTAGATGAGACGCGCACGGGATAATGACATCACAGTTGGGACTTTCAGCCTATCAAAAAGCTTAATGATCTTCAGAGGGAGATGCGCACACACACCTGTCTCAGTACTCTATTGATTTGAATCAAATGTGATGCAGCAGAACCAGATAGTCTTTTTTATTCCATCCATGCTACTTTCTTGTCAAAACCAGGTGTCTGCGTTACCCACAATGCAACGTGACCACTAACAGTTTGGTCGGAGATTTGAGTGTGTTATGCTAGTAGTATAGATGAGGAGTGGGCTATAGAAGTCTTGTAAGCTCACTTCTTTCTAACACCTCAGATTGTTTTCATTTACAAACTTGTAGTTTTCAGCCCCAGCCGACACAGACATTTATCACGTAACGCAGCCCAAAATGTTAACCTTAAAATGGTTTTAAGGTTTTATACAACTTTTGTTCACGTATGCTGTAGTAGTCCGCAGCACCTGTAAACAGACTTTCATGTGTAAAATCAGAAGATTTCAACTTTAACACACAGATGAATATATGTCCATTCCTAGAAACTCATCCTAAAGAAAGACTGTGTTATTGCCTTGTACCTGAATGACAAATACTTTGACAGAGGTCCAAATTCAAATGTGTAATGGTCTTAAAAGTATATACATAACCTGGCTTCCCCGCTACAGACCCAGCCTCTGTATCCCTGCCTCTGCTGCCACCACAGCAAAAAGGTTGCTAATAGCAATAGGCTATGGTGGACAACTCATGGAAACACAAAGTGAAGGCAATTGTTCAGGGAATCATGGTCTATCTCACCAGTTCAACACTATAAAACACAAGGCACAAAGACACAAAGATCCCTTTCACACCCACATAAACCTATTTCAGCTGATAACTATAATCTCATGAACCAGTCTCTTTGAGAGAGTTTGAACCACCAACAATAATTATTGTCAATGCAAGGCTCCAAAAGAGACTGTAAAAAAGGTCAAATAAACGCTGCTAAATGAATCCACACTGCATCAAGGTCAGATTTGGAAGTATGTAAATGCAAACCCAGTTACCTTCCGTTTTTAGAGCTTGGCACTGAGAAGGTATGTACATGCAAATACTGCCAGCCTGGATCATCCTCACTCCTAAAAACAGAAGCTTTTGTCATCCATTTCTTCACTGTACTGTTTCAGTACAGCTGAAAGGCCTCTCTGCTAAGGGCCTAATGTTGGTGCATACAGCAGCGTTATACCTCTGCCTGCCACCAAACAAGGCGTGAATTGATCAAGCTTCACCATGAGTCCACGGATCTATGTGTGTGTGTGAGTTAGGAACAACTTTCTAGGGAAACAAAAACATCTCCTGTCCAAGTTGTATTTCTAACTTTCCATTCATGTTCTGTCCTGCAGTTGCACAAACAGCTGATGTCTCTAAAAGCGACGGGCGCACCACAGGCACCAACCACAGCGACAGACCAAGAATGATATTTCTATTCCACAATGGAAAGTTGCTTGGTTCGTTTATCATAAAACTATGCTAACCACTGTGTTGTTATGAATCTGACTGCCTTTCCAACCGCCATATTAGCGGGTAATGATATGGCTTGTGATGTCTGCTGTGTATGTGAGAAGAGACTGCGTTTCATGGAGTGTGAGCGGGTGAGTAATATGTTAGCAAGAAAGGACAGGAAACAGGAGAGGAAAGCTAAAAGTGTGCATGGTATTACTCTGATCTCTAGTATGAACAGAAATGTAGCAACGGATGACAGGGAAAGCTGCTGCTGAAAGGGAGAGATGACTAACTTTTTACCACAGCTGACTATGGCCACCTACAAACCAGCCTGCTTAAGACTAATTATAGGGAGAGCCCATGACTGGGACGGATTTGCCTCGCCAATATTATCTATCACTAAGCTACTGAATAAATAGCAAAGAGCAACACGTGACGATATGGGTTTAGGTCGGAGAGGAAAGAGGAAAGAGAGATGTAGGCCATGAGTATGCTTCCTAGAAAATGTCCTGAATCATGACAATAGACAGGAAGATGCAGCACTCCGAGAGTCCACACACTGAGGGACAGGAACGATTCATGTTCACGTTTATGTTTGTGAGTGTTTTCTGTGACGCCAGCTGGCTCGTCATATCGCAGTGGCCTTGGTCCCAGCGGACATTGACCCCAGATTGTATAGAAAACGTAGATACAGAATATGTACACACACATTTCATGAATCTTAATGAATAGACTAAATGTAGATGACCAGATGAGGTGATTTCAGTGAATTTGATCCCAGAGGTCTGGTTGGTTAAACAGCAACTTTCCCTGATATGGAAGGGATTGAGCATTTTGCTCAGAGGGCAGATAGATACCAGCAAATACTATTGAAATCATTCATTCTCAGAGAAAATTGTCAGTATTGTAAATATTCTTTGGTAGAGTCACCTTCACCCCAAGCAGAGCGAGAGAGAAGTTGTGGTGAGTCAGTCAGCAGTGATTTCTCAGGTTTGTCGCTCACGAGCAGGAAGCAATGACACATTCACAACAGGAAATGTGTGAGAAAGACAGAAAAACAAACAAACGCACTCAGCTGGAGTGTTTGCTCCCGTTTGTGTGTTTGTGAGTGACCAGGAGGTTGACCCTGTTGGAACTTGGACTTGTCTCTTTGCCACGAAGCCTGTACACAACATACCAGCAACCGCTGTAGGAGTCACACAATGGCCCTGTTTACACCTGGCATTAACATGGGTGATCACGAGTGGGCAGAAGTTTGCAGACAACATGTTTATACCAGGTGTAAACAGGGCCAATAAGGTAATCTGCAGCACTGACTGTCCAAATTAACCACTGCTTAAAAACTGAAGAAAAACAACCCCCCCCCAAAAAAAAAAGACTCTCAAGCATAGACCTCACTAAAGCCTCTCAAATTCCTGGCAGAGTGGTGCATTTACTTTCGCTATCAGCCTATTTATTTTTTTTTAAAGGTGGAGAAACATGGGCCTGATAACAACTATGAACACACACACAAACACACGTCTTTGGAGAATCGTTATGTAACAGTAACTTTTGTTTTTCAAATTAAGAGTTTATATTTTCGTTAGTTCTGCCTTTATTAGACACAATCAAACAACAGAAAATTCTTGACCTAGTAAATAAAACAAATAGTTTGATAAGACATTCTCAGTTCAAGGTCCACTTACTAGCGTTCTTTCATAGCTTATACAGCAAATACAGAGGAGCATATACACCATACCATGGCACAGAGTTGGTGTCTTGCTCAAGAACAGTTTGACTGATTACAAATACTTTTTGCAATATTATGAGTCTACAGTGGTGCTAGTGGCTCTTTGAGGCCGTAGCTATATGCTAATGCCCGCATGCTAACATGCTCACGGTGACAATCATTCACAATTCCATAATCTGACCACCTCTGCCTCTTGAACACTGCAGGCTTATTTACTTTGGTTTGGCATCTTCCTTGTATCTTCTGGTTGTCTGGTCTAACCTGATGAGAAACAGGCTACAACTGAGGTATAAAGCTACCAGCTTATGAGCATACAACACAAGCACCAGTCCCATCACCCCACTGGGACACTCCAGATTCAGTTTAAGTCAATAAAAAGCTTAAAAGAAGAGTTCAAAAGGTTATCAGCCACTCCCCCTCAGGGCTGATTTAGGGTGCTCCAAAGACAGCTAATGAAGACAGAGAGGAGAGCACCAGATCTCCCGGGATTCAACCTTTAATGTCCTGGCTCCACCACACAGTGCTGTCCAGCTATCAGCTATGACCACACTGCTCATTTCCTACTGAAAACAGCTCGTCCGGGCTGAGAACTCGACTGACATGCATGACTGAAGTGTCTGGACTGCGGTGTTATGCAACTCTTATAAGCACTAGGGTCTAGTCAACTGCAAAAACAGCCATTGAACTGTAAGCAGACAGTTATTATAGCATCTCCCTTCATCTTTGCGTGGCCCTCCCCCACTCCCTCCATCCATTGGTCTCCCCTTAAACCCCCCTCCTCCACTTCTGCCCATCACTGTCTGTGTCTGTGGCCCCAGGAAACACACAGATCCATGCACAATTACATCCAAGGGTGGGGTGAGGAGGGGTCCAATGAAATATTGTCTCATGTGTGGAGCTGTGCATCCATGAATGTCAACATCCTCATTTCTGTGTGTGCGTATGTCAGGAAGAGAGTTTTGACTGAGTAGGTGATCAGGGGAGAGCAGGTGGTTAAGTCCTCCCTTAGGAAAACTAAACCCAGCAGCCAAGACAAACATATTATAACATCTGCCATTTGCCCATATGAGCTAATCAGAAAAAAACAGATTCAATATGCGTTGCAACATAAACAAGAACACCACAATAGAAAAAAAAAGCCCCTTTCCTCCACACCTTTATATTTAAAGTTAAAAGGGTCAGTATTCAAAAACTAACAACAAAAAGCAGCATCTCACACGTCATTAGTTGATTAAGGCAATTGACAGAAAAAAAATAACTATTTTGATAGTCAATTAA